AGGCATGTGCCTGATCATGGCTGTTCTTGCTGCTGTTGCCGCCCTTGGATCCATGCTCCTTGTGCTTGGCCGACCGCCAAGCCTCACAGTCTGCTTTCTTGTGGCCATAGCCCTTGCAGTAGTGACAATTGCCGTTGAACCGGTGCAAGTCCTTGCCCTCCGGCTCATGCTTCCTATTGGATCCACCACGACGTACACCGTGTTTTCCACGACCACGGCCATAATTGCCTTGCCCAGCGTACCTCTGTCGGCCACCGCGGCCGCGCCCTCCTTGGGCGTAGTAGGCTTCCTCGCGCTCCATAGGCACATCTGGCATGCACATCACTGCCCTCTTGAGGATGGTCCAAAATGTCACCATCTTCTTCTTGCTGTCATCCAGGGTTTCCATCTTGTCCTCCACGTAGACACGCGCTTGTGTGGGCAGGTTGCTCACCAACTTCTTGACCGTGTCCTCCTCGACAAGCCTGCTGCTCATCCGCAGCGTCGACACTGTCAGGTCAATCTTGCGCCGGTAGTTGCTCAGATCATGTTGACTCTGCAGCTTCGTGGTGACCAAATCAGCTTCAGCTTGCGCAAACACGCTCTCCAGCGCCTCCAGATCGATGTCAGTTCGATCAATCCAGTCGTGTAGTATCATTCCACGACCATGGCCGCTCTTGATTTCCTTCCTAAGGCCACTCAAGACTAAGCGAGCTGTTCCGGTGAGACACGTTGAAAGTGCGACAATAATCACATTATTGATTTCCTTGAGTTTCTTGACGTTGTCCTTCGGGCCTGGCCCGTGCTTCTCCACAATGGCAGCGGCTTGCAAATCCTCCTCCTCCAGGCTCTTGAGCTCTGGCAGGTACGGGACATCGTAGCTGTCGCAAACGGCGTTGATGACCTCGCGCAGCTCGATCAACTTCATCGTGTCATGGCCATCATACTGAGGCCAGCGCTCCGACTGTCGGCGGATGCTCTTCACGATCTCCGGCAACACCTCGAGCGCCATGTTCTCGATGTACTCCTCGACACCGGTTTTTCCTTTGGGGAACTCGCACTCAAATGGGAAGCACCCAAGTCTTCAGCTCCTTGACGCAGTGTCCACGCAGTCGAGGCCCATAACCTATTGAAAGGCGATTTGAGCTGAGACAGTAAAGCGGTTCAATTGCACTTCTCTCACAGGAGAGAACGATAGAAAACAGAAAGGGAAATATCCAAAAGAAAATGCCACTCACGGTCAGCGGGACCGTACTTATAATCTGGTGGCTAAACACACCCAGAGTGTACGAGAGGGTTCCTCGACGGGCGGCGGCAGCTGCACATCGTCGAGTACATTGATGCAATCCTAATACTATGCAGAAAGGTAGCTCTGTCCAATACCCGACTATGGTATATGTTTACG